ATCTCCGTAACACTACACGTTTACGGTCGTTTTAACAGAAATGACTAAGACAAATATAGCTCACTGTTTTTACATCATTTGTTTACATGGTTTTGACGGATCTAATGTACGCGTCATTGCATAATGTTATGCATGATATAATAAACAGCATAACAGAGGATCAGATACCTACGGTACGTTTAAAACCAAGCAATCGTCGTCTTTTTAAATCGAGTATATATAGGTGACTATAGTTTACACGTTGAAAGTTTTACACCGTACATTCTTAAATTCCATGGGTCTCTTTTTTGGACGGAACGTCAACAATTTATAGGAGCATACACAAGATCAAACATTATCATCTTAGAGGAAACAAAACGTCATATCAAGGACAAACAGAAGGTATGTAAAGTTCTTCTTTATATCTGAAGTAATCGTATACAGTGACATACATGTACGAACAGGCTAAACTATATATATAAATTGCATTAGCAAAGACATGTGTAAGCAGCAACATTTATCATTAGAATTTGAAATGATTTTGATCTACCAAATGCTTAATGTCTGTTGTTCTCATGGGCGAGTTAACTAAAACATACCGATAGGCATTCATACATCCTCGATGGTCTTTACGTTCATGAACTACAATATATTGTATTTATCAAACAATGACTCAAAATGGCATCTTAAACTACAAATAATCTCTTGAAACCCTTTTGAAAAGTTATTGACTTTTTTTCATTTTTTTTTTTTTATTTTTTTTGCAGAATGTCGAATGACGTTTTAAGTCAATTACGGCAAGCTTAAGAATATGCACAAATGCATTAGCTTCTTCAGATATAAGAAATTTCTTTAAATATAAGCAACCTAACCTTCCCATTTATATGTTATTTTATAAAAATCATCATGTCCCTAATTATCAAAGATTTTGTACGACTGAAATGAGGCTGTTTTACTAAAGGTTTACTCAACTATACGCCAAAGGGAATCAGTGGTATCAGAGAGTATGCGTTGAGCAGAATAGAATTATTCATTATACAAAAGAATAAGGAGCACTACTAATGTGAATCAACGGTAACGGAATTAACATAAAGCATAATAATCCACATTTTCATAACATTTGCAAGTGTTATTTCTTTCTGAAGTTAAAATAATGGCAAAAAATTATCCAAAATTAATCATATGTCGATTGTTAAAAATATACATAAATCTAAGAAAAATGTTTGTTTATTCAGGATATACTGGTACACTACGGTAAATCGTTTGGATATATCTAACACATACTCATTGTAGATGTACATATCATTTGTACAGTAGGTATATACTGAATGCTAAGTGTGCATGTGGAGAAAACGTTTCATCAAAATTCCATAGACGGCATCAATATGTACGATTTGCGATTTAAAAGTGCATTTTGAATGTCTGAAATGTTTCCATCAGATCGAAATATATTAAGAGATTTTTATATAGATTATTAGTGAAGTAATGCTAAAGTTTCCGCTTCGTCTGTTACTCTATGTAGGTGCAACGTCTTGAAAAGCAGTTTTTATGTCATTATCATAAATATTTCGTTAACAAGATTATACTTTGCTTGGTTAGTATGAGTTTTACGCGGAACTTTAATCCATAGCAAAAAGCAATAGTCATACAGACACAAAATCAATTATGTCTGTCACTGAAGATATGTAAAACAAATTGTCGTGTTTGCTCAGTTCAGGCGTGAATGTACTTGAGTTATAAGATAAGAATGTTGTGCCTAGGTAGAGATACCACAAACGTAAAAGCCAAATCAAAAAGATAGTTTAGTAGACTTGAATGTTAGTTTGGTTCGAATGATCAAGTTATGTAACGAAACTGTAGTTGTGTGATCGGTATTTTTCATTTTGTTGATTTTTCTCTGCTTGAAATATTTTGCTTTTCTGTCGTTAAAGTTTTTTTAATCTATTTTCTCTATCCTAACTTTCATCACAATCTTCACCGGCTGCATCCTGCTGTTCGTGCTGTATCACTAGTATATCCTAGTTTGATGTGATCGAAATATCGATTTGTATTTTATATGTACCTTAATTCAGTGTCATGTAGTCTCCTTAAGATTAAAGGATGAATTGCTTAAATTGCTGAGTGACATTGTGTTGAATTTTGTTCTATGATTATGTTTTATAATGGGGCTAGTATTTTTTATCCCTTATTAATGTATGATGGCATTGCTTATATGTTCACTGGTAAAAATTCATTTCTGATCCATGTTACCGCCAATGTGTAAGGTATTAGATTTAATTTTCGTTATTAATACCACATACGACACATCCACTGGAGCGATAAGTTGTCACCTTCCATAAAACAGCATTTTTGTTTGATGTTTATAGTTACGAAAGAACTAAGGTAAACACAAAGTATTACCTAGTACGTGTAATTAAGAAATAAGGATGTAATATTACAAAAGTGCAGTCTAAACAGATCAAACGAGCATGTAAGTTAACCGCCACATAAGAGACACTCGTGATCAATGTAAATAACATTATCAGAGTACAATTGTATATAACACCATACGATATTTAAAAAAAAAACCAAAGTCAACCGATTAATTGGCGTAATTCAATGTCAGATGTGGTCCCTATATAATGAAGTTTAATTAGACTTAAATTTATTCAATAAGTACACGAGATGCGATTAATTAATCAAAATTAAAACACTCTATTATGTGCTAGAGAGTAATGTTAACATGGATGAAGTTCATTCTAATTGTTTTGAAATACGGCCCCCGTCAACAATCAACAGATTACATTTTACAAATGCATATCTGGAAAAGTACATTCTTTATTCACGAAAATCACTAAATGCGATTTTTATCAGAAATGTCATAATAGGGAAACCAGCGAAATGTTGCTTCTATTGAACAGGCACGGATTTATTAACCAGCATGGAGGCTTACATACTTGAAACTATTGTTTTTCTTAAGTAAATATTCATTGTTCAATGCATTTGTTAATGTTTACCAATTCAACATCCACGTTTAAGTATCAAGCATAATCGATCTTGCTACATTTATACTAGGATTTAGTTTAAACAATATTTTATTCAATGTTCTAACACATACGTTATGGATGGGAAACCAGTTTAGAGCTTTTATCTATCATTTAATCAGCGGTTATATTAGGACTTTGTTAAAATAGTATTGTTATCGTAAATCCTTATTTTATATGGACATGTGATGACATAAGATGAGCATATAATGGAAGCCAACAAAATCGATTTGATAAAACAAACATTGCATGGTCTTCAAAGGCAGGCATTAAATCTCGCTATTGGGAAAAAAATTCACGGCTATCATTTCACTCCTATTGAAACTATCTGTGTCATTGAATATGGATGTAGTATGAGCAAGGATTTAGTTGCCATACAAAAGTATGATGGCCTGTTAGGAAAATCGAAACAAGCCTTTAAAAGTCTTCATCTTAACATAGTATTGCAATTATTCTGCGCTGTGTATACCTGATATAAGTATTCAGCAAGTTAATATATCCATCTTTTCAAAGGCTGTTCTACCTAAAATTAGATTTTTTAATGATTTCACAAGATGGCGCCAGGTCTTCATGGATACAAAGCTGGTGTAAAGGTTTGTTTCTCTGATGTGTCTCAACTTTTATGTGATAAATAAAAATCCATACTACACAGGCGAGTTCTGTCATGTTTAATCACACAGTATCACACACTATGTTTCTCGTTTCTGATTAAAAGTTATTGGACTGGAGTCTTTATCATGCTTAATCATTTTCGCTGTAAATAAGCTACAACTTCACAATGAAAATTGAAACAAAGGCAGATCTCCTCGCGGCTATCCACAATAATGTTTATGCATTTCTCAATTAGCTGAACAAAGATCTTCTCAAAGGTCTGCAATCATTCTTTGATATCCTTGCATTGAATTTGCTCAGGTGCGTGCCAAAGTAACAGTTTTAAAAAGTTTCTAAATCCTTTGGGTGTTTTTCCATTGCTTCCTAAATTCCCCATTTGGTATTCTTTTATCTTCTGTTTATTCTGGTGACGAATCACGATTGCTGTTACAGAAGAAACAGAACGAAATCGAAATCCCAACACGACCGTAAAATTGGTTGAACACGTGGAAGACACTTAATAGCACAAGGGGATAAGGCCAGGTTTTCCGGAAAAGTAAGTGAATTCTGCTTCATCGCTGAAACTCGCCAAATGAATGCGTGCCAATCCAAACAAAGTCACAGTGTCAGAGCTAAGTTAAAACGACACAACCGGATGTCATGCTAACGGCTATAGAACATTTATAACTTCATATCGCACAAGAAGGATTTATTTAAAAAAAACCATGCAGAAGGGTATGTTGTATCCTAGATTTGAAAATCTGGAGGATATATTCGATGGACATGATTAATAACAAATCGGCTAAATTAGAGCTTGGCATGCATTTTTTTTTAAATTGATCATCTATTTGAGATATTGTCCATCAGTGATTCAATTATTTCATTTTGTTTTAATTTTGTATTACGAAAAATCCAAGGTCATGTGTACATTTCATGTGTACAGTCTTTTGAAGGTGTATATTCGCGAGATGTTGAGTGAAATGTTGCAAGACAGTCCCTTATAGTTTACCAAGACTAACAGACAAATAATACAATAACAGTTTTGATATCTACACAGTGTCCAATATTGTACTACTATTAAAGATGTAATGCCTCATTGAAATATCAAATTTTAAGTTTTGATATTATTTGTTTTGTGTCGAAAAAAATCCTTTTCGTAAATATACATCTTTGTTTGAGACACTTGGTCTGATCACCATAATCTTGATATTGGCAGCTTTAAATGTCAGAATTGATTGACTGTAATAAGCAAACAACGTACTTAAATGAATATTTCAGCTACTGGTAGCCATCTGGAATAATTTACGATGAATAAGCATGCACAACTATTATATATTTTAGTCGATGTATCTTCCGTGGATAATGTTGTTTTGAAACATGTTTCAGGTGAAGTGATACAAACTAAAGATGACATCTTCCGTTACAAACTATAGTTTGAGCCATCCTGTTCTGCGTTACCTTCTAAACTTACAAGAGTCGGCGAAGGTCAAAGGGGTTCCGGAGGACATTCAGACACAAATACAAACTTGTATCGACTGTATTATTGTAAGTATTAATACGTGTACTCAGTGTAATGATAAACTGGTTTGCATGCCATTGATTTCTTTTTTATTTTCATCTACGATAGTTACTTCATATCTAAAGAATGAACCAATCAACTACTAGTGTTAAGGATAATGACAAGCAATTAAGTCATTTGAAAAAAACCCGCCTGAACTCAGCGTCATGATAATTTGAAAACTTCCAAAAACTTAGTTACTGTTATGAAATAAGCTCCTTATTGAAACTTTGACAATATTTAAATATATGGTTCTGAAAAGATTGTTTTTCCTATGTTATGTTAACAGGCACGAGATGACTATTGTGAAGATATATCTAGTCCCGCAAGTGAGGCTATGGGTATCCTCATCGAAGAGACTAAAAACCATCCCTGGCAGCAGGCATACAACGGCGGCAAGATACAGTACCAAGTATCGCCTATGATGCTTTCCGGAGCACTGGAAGGTAAATGATGCAATAGTATCGATTCGAGTCTTGTTCATGGTAAATGTTCCAAAGAACAACATACTAACGCAAAAATTCCCGATTTTATCTTTAAATGGCTGCTTGTAACGTCCTTCTATCGTTTTACGAAACGCATGCTATTTTTGATACATTTAAGTTTACAATACCATTTATTACCATCATTGTTCTGCAATACTCCACATGAATCTAAAATTTGCGTTATTACACTTATATGCTTACGCATTCAAGCCATCTAATTCGCCTGAATAGCCCCATCGCACGCCAAAAGTTGAATGGAAACAAATTTAATTATGTTACTTTTATTTAAATTACATATTTTCCTGTTCTTAACTGAATTTCAGGTTCCTTCCTAAAGATGCTAACAGGCATGTCAAATGCCAAACGAGTCCTCGAAGTCGGTCTCTTTACCGGATGTGGCGCACTTGCCATGGCAGAGGCACTTCCGGCTGATGGAAAAGTTATCACATGTGAGATAGAGGAGTATGTTGCAGACGTTGCCAGGAAATTGATTGACCAATCACAACACGGAAAGAAGATCGATATAATGATAGGTGAGTTCTTCGGATCGCAATACACGCGACAGAGTTTTGTTTATATAAAAAAATGCAAGGGTGTCAAGAAATATGGCTGAAAAGGTGATGGCTGTAAATCAGCTTTCTTTGGCAAGGGTTTTACTATATATTTGCATAGGATAATCAACAGCATTTGTAACATTGAATCTGAGTTATGAAATCTCGGAAGAACGTTAATTCATAGTATATAGCATAATGAATAATTTTGATACTTCAATCAATCTAAATTTGTTTCGTCATTTTCTCTAACTATACAGGTCCTGCTACAGAGAGTCTTCAACAACTGGCTAAAGAACGACATCAGTTTGACATTATTTTCATTGACGCAAACAAGGAAGGTTATACCGACTACTATAAGGTATGTACATCACGAGATAGTGTCTTTGCTGATATCATGACGGACTGTACCCATTGACTTTTATCATATTAATTTCCTCATTATTCATTGAATATTCCAAAGTCATACATTTACGTGTTACACATGTGCAATATAACTTGCACTTTAGGTGATGAAATTACGCCACGCATTCACAAATACTGTAACATAGTGACGTAAACATGGGGACAATGGAGCGGTCAAATAGCAAATTGGAACCCATGCAAGAGCCTTTATATAAGATGGGTACTGCCAGAATGTACGACATTAGCAGCAAATTAAACTAGTTATAATATATATATATATAGATAATGATTCATACATTTACCCCCTACATATTGGACTAACTAGAGAAATATTTGTGGTAAAATTACCAGTAATGCCAAGGATTTTATTCTTTGCCTACTTGTTCTTTCCTTTCTTAATTTGTCATTGCTGGTATCTTACATTAGAAACCATTAGCCACTGTCGGAATGCTAATGGTTCCTGAATAAATCTAAATAATAAAATTTAAAAAAGAAATATTTTTCTTCTGTAACTGTCAATAAAAACTGATCTGGGGCATAAAATAAGCTATTATAGTGAAAAGAGAATGAATTTGGACATCATACACTTGGACAGAAGTTAACATGGGAATCCTCAGTCATGTTATCCCTATTCACATTTTTTCTGCATTTCGTTTTAACTCACAGGAAGAATAACTTAATTTAGAAATGAATATCATGTTATTTAGTGATTATGAATGTTGTCGACAGTAGTGAAGTTAATTAGAGCGACCTGAAGTTTCACCCTATTTTAATCTCCTGTTCAGATCACCAGTGAGATTATCTCTGAAGTTAATTTCATGTTCCAGCAGTAAGTTAATTGATGTGTCGTAAGTAGTAATGATAATCTGTGGTCGGGATGTAGAACATAACATTATTTTAAACAGTCTCTTGTCTCTAGTAGTAATTCTTCCGAAGTGTGTCGTGCTTTTTGAAAATAATTTTATGACTAAAATGAAAAATGAGTACGTGACAATTTTGATAAAAGAATCGATGTTGAAGTTAAAAACCAAAACTCACGTTTGAAAAAACTTTGATAAAAATGAACAAAAAAGGTTTACACGGGAAGCCGTGGAAAAAGTCAATGTTTTTTCCTTGATCAGTGTCGATCAGACACAGATCAAAGTAATGAAACGTCCTCTAAGTGGCACATGGGGAAATGGCAAAACATCATACGGAGCGAACACAATAAGCTCATTGAGCTGATACACGTCTGTATTTCTGAATGTCCTGTGGTGTAAGATTGCATTTATTAGCACCCCACACGTGATCGTTCACCCATCACATACAAACTCACTATCTCTCTTCAGATAATCATGGACCACGATATGCTGACATCGGAAGGCACTATACTGATAGACAACGCCTTACACGGGGGCCGGACTTACTTATCCACTGAAAAGCTACTGATCCCGAAATGTCAGAACACAGACTGTCACATGATGAGTGATTTTAACAACTATGTTTATAATGATAATAGGGTTTCCCAGGTAAAAATGTGCCTTATTCACTTCTCTTAATTTATAAATGTATATGAATTTCAATTTAATAATGAAAATCACAATATGACGTCACACTAAAGGCGGGAAAAACGGGAGTCTGTTTTGGATGTTTAACGCTAATAATACAGGAATAGAAATAATTGAAATGATCTCTGATTCTTCAATAGTTAAGTACTCAAGATTACTGCCAATGACGTCTGTACCTTGGTAACAAACACGTACACCTTTATATTTGATATCCGTATTTGAAGCCCGTGTTTTTATATCTACCATGTAGCAGCTGATATACTCAGGGTTAAAAATTTTCGGGATTTTTTATTTTATTACATTTTATCGTATTAAGATTTTGTTCTATGGATGAAAAATGGATTTTATACACACATGGCTCAGTATTTTCGCGTATCCAATTTTCGCGATCACCTTAAGGTACTATTAGATAGCGAAAATATCGTGCTCACGAAAATACCCGGCCATACGGTATGTTGCTGATTTACTCTTGTTTGCAGTCAAAGCCAGTCGACTGTATCATTGTATTTCAATCAATCATATATCGTTAATTAGTAGTTATCTACCTACCACCAGCAACGAACAAAAAGCAATGCCGGCGTTTCACATGAGTGATATATTGATTGGCCTCATTTTCTGATCGATTAGGTGATGGTCCCCATCCGTGACGGGGTGATGGTCATCAGGAGGAAGGAGGCATTCGAGGGACAGGCCTAGACTTGGCATCACCATATAGGGTTTAGTAATGCACGGTATACTCATGTAGCAATACTCATGACGAACAGTTGACTGGTATTACTCACAAATCGATACGTGAAAGTGTATTGTGCAACGTTGATATAGCAAAAGGATTGTTCTCTTATTGCGGGCACTACGCAGCCTTTGTATCCGTGAGATTTTCATCTGGAACTGAAGACGAGGAACAAAGCTTTGCAATTGAGGGATTGTTCAAACTACTAACGTACCTTTAAGTGACTTGTGACGGAAATATTACGTAGAGAACATGCTACTTTCGTTTCATGGCAGATCAAACTGGTAGTTACAGAAGAAATATGTTAATATGGAGATAACAGCTTCCTTATACAACGTCAGCGTGAAATGGGTCAACAAGAACATACAGTGAGATTATTTGCATGCTCTAGATCAGATCAAACTTTCATTTTGATATATAGATGGAGGTGTTCGTTACTTTATACAGGATTTAATGTTAATGTTTATTGTATTGATGGCGTTATATATAAATAAAGAACAAAGGTGCTGTATCAAGTTAATCTTTCTGTCGTTCATAAGATAATGAATGACATTGTCGGAAAGGATTTAATACAAGATTTGGTAAAAAAATTAAAATTGATGTTCTTTTGTCCGGAGACTATTCAGTTTAGTTTCTGGTGATTTTTTTTCTTTCGTCCAGGAACTTTCATAATAAATTATTCTGATTTGGTGTTTTGATTCCGTATTGCATAAGTTATGATTCAAAAATATTTTTTTCGCCAACAAGTCATTGATTAAAACATCAGTATGGTTTCATTGAAATGCAACTAATTCAGAAATGAGTATGATGATAATACTTTCCATGTGAAGTCTTTGATGTATGTTTTCAACAATGTCGTATTGCACTTTTCTTTAACGTTAACATTATACAATGCGAGTTGAATACTGACACTTAATATGACAACAAAGACCAACATCATCTTATGAGTACAATGCTGTAATCTTTTCCTGTGAGTCGAGTGACGTTTTATCATAGCAAATGCATTGTGTCAAACACACATTGAAATTCATTTATCAGGATATATTGATGTTCGGATCAGGTACATATGCTTACTATTCCTAGCGAATTTCTGGTATAATAAGATCTACAGGAATTACCTGTAAGGCCTATTCTAGAATGTGCAAAACATTATCAAACTTTTCAATGGAACGTGGAAAGTTTGAAAAATATAATTATAGCTTGAATCATAATTTGCATATTAAAGAAGAATTCCCCATTGTATAACTACCTTCGAACGTCTACTATGTGGTTTGTTGTACTCTTAAACCTATTTGTATGACTTTTGACCTCGTCCACATTGCGTGCTATTTTTATCGTTTGTTCCACTTTTTAACCCGACATTGCAACTCGTCCGTATGACATTACATTGTTGATGTCGTTCGGACGACAAATCTAATGACGTGTCGTACCTTTCGAATGTTTAATTGTTTGCGCTTTCAGAACTGATTGGTATATAAAATAAACATAATCATATTTTTTATTCACCAGTCAACATAGCAAAGCTATAACTTTCCTATTTACTTGTTTCGAAATGTTTTTCACACCTGCACACGAAAGCGTGGCCTGTACAGCTCCATCTCTTTGTTAATTTCTAAACGGCTACATGTTGTTTCGTACCTTTACACACCTTATTTTCGATAGTCCTATATGAGTCACAATACCAAACAGATACTGTAAGCTGCTGGTGTCAAATTTAGTACATCTGTACTATCTATAGTCACCTGGTACTAACGATTAATACTCGTGTATCGTCTACAAATAGTCATTCATATGTAGTGTATTTGTCAGAGTCGCCCAGGACACCAAGAAGGTATGTCGATATACATGTTTATAAATATGTCCTTGTGAAGAATATATGCACATGTACATGAAGGCGTGTCCGGGTATATGCAATGCATTTCTTATATGAGAAATATGAAACGAGTGTAAAAACTTCTCTCGAGATTTAGCGAATATTCTGTTAAAAATTTCATAAAATATTATTCATCATATGATCGATAGTACGTTAATCATTGCAGTTGACATGCTTTTCCGTCTCAGTATGTACATTTATAAAACGAACATAGTGTGAAATTATTCAATTAAGTCAAAGCTGATGAAAAGGATAAAAAAAATCATGACGTAGATTCACAATCTGCAGAAAATATCATGTACTGCATCGCTGCATTCACGATACCAAGATATGGAAGAGAGAAATTGCCTTGACCTAAACGGACACATGGACGGACACACGGACAAATAATGAATATATTCTATTACATAGTTTGTCGAGTTATCTCTAAAGTTGATGCACGGGAAGTAAATTTTAACTTCTGTACGAAGGAGTGCCTGAGACTGGTCACCCGCCTGGGCGGAGTATAAATAGACATTGTTACCGACAATCAAGTTGTTGACTTAAACCTTAAATCATATACCGTTTCTTCCTTAAGGGCACACGTATGTGAGATGGCAAAGCTATATAGCGTTCACTCTGATTAAGGATTTTGTTGGAAGTGTCATTTAACATTTCTTAAACCAAACAAAGACGTCAAATATTGACGAAAACAGATTAGAATTGTGTTCCAAATCCGTGTAAGAACGACAAATATTATTTTGTGACAAAATTTCTTTTTAAAAAAAGATTTGAGCCTGTAGGGTGCAATTCAACACACATGTTCCTGTCCATTTATGAAGCGCTCGTATAGATATACGTTAAAAATATACGTTGGAAATATTGGCGACCCTTATCAAATAGATTGTATAAAATTTTATTGTTCAGACCTTGACCTCGAAGAAAAAAAATCATATGACTTTTGATACTTTAATATCTCACCATACAATCTTTATCTATGACTGCAGCATTTGACAGGCACATCGAGGATTGAGACGAATGATTCAGATACAAGCTGTATTACTTAGATAACAAAACTTTATCGGAGTACCATGGTCCTCAGATAAATATCTGAAATCTCAGTCAGCACACCATCCCTATGGCGGTCTCCGCAGACACAACATAATCCCTGTTATCAAATGTCTACCATCACCATAGTCACCAGTGTGTACTGTCCCATCAAACAAAGTGCAACTTACAGTGTGCCTGCGTATGGAATGTAATCGAGTGAAAAAAGTATCAACACATACCATAGAAAATAATTAGAAACGGCCGCTTACACATCATGCTTTAAAAAGACTATTTTGCACAAAATGGGAACTAGAATATTTACCATTCCAATTATTCTGATAGTTTAGCAAATCACATTCATCCAAACTAAAGAAAAGAAACGTGAAAGCGAATCTATGTTTACTTCAATTTTTCTCGACAAGGCGTATCAAACTGTATCGGTTTTAATTTCTCATGTGGCAATGTTTCAACCTGTTATCGTCATAACTAAGGTAGTTAGTCTTGATAACATAGGTTAGTACCCTTAGTATCTCAGGTAAGTAACCATAATAACTAAGGTGAGAAACCGCAGTATAACCGTAATAACTCTGGTTGGCAAGTAACTCTGTTTGTTAACCGTAATTACTCAGGATAGTAACCTTGATTAAGTCAGGTTAGTAATCTTTATAACTCAGGTAAGTAACAGTAAATTATCAGGTTAGTAACCTTGGTAACGTAAGTAACCGCAATACTAAGGTTAGGAATGTTAATAGCTGACGTTACTACCCATAATGGATCAGGTTAGTAACCGTTATAACTCTTGTTAGCAACCTTAACTCACCTTAGTCACGTAAAAGTCAGATGAGTAACTGTGATAACTCTGGCTAGTAACCTTAGTGAATTATGTTAGTAACAATGATAACTCAGGTAAGTGACCTTAATAACTCAGGTAAGTAACCTTAAAAACTCAGGTTAGTAACCCTGATAACTTAGGTTGGTAACCTTAATAGCTCAGGTTAGTAACCTTAAAAGCTCAAGATATGACTCAAGTTAGTATATGTTTATAATACATTAATAGCTTAGCTGATTCATATGAATAGCTGCAATTGAGTTAGATACAAAACATATTCTAATTTTTGTCAATCCAGACACGTAATTTTTCGATTTTGCTTGTAGGAGAATATAACTTTAGCCTTTCAACCACAATTTTTTCAGTGGTATCATTGCTCTATTGTACCCAAGCTTAAACCGAATAACTCCATGTCATATTTTATTTGTTTGTCAATTCTTGGTCATATATGGATTGAGAGTACCCATCAATTTAACAGAAGTAAATCCCACACAAAAATTAACGATTTAACAGTAGTATATAATCTACCTCTTTTTTCATTTATGTTAACCAAAGTAAACAGAAAACGAAAATGGCTTCAACTTCCAAAAAAGCAATTATGGGCGGTCCCGTACAACGGCAGCTTGTAAAGTTACAAGACATGGCGAAGACACTAGAGGCTTCTGAGGATATTCAAACACAAATACAGATTTGTATAGAAAACGTTACAGTAAGTAATCGTATATCTCCTGTAGATGTTCTATCTAGATACTTTTAACAAAAGACAGTTAAATAGCTAGCTTATTCAAAACATTGCTGAAGTAAGACCAAGCAATGGTCATAATTGCATGAACATAGGCAGAAATATTCTTTCTGTGAAAAGTGCGAATACACTTGTCCGGGTTTATAATATTTTTATCACGTTAAGTAAAAATTAATTTTTAAATAGAGATATTGGGGAGAGTTATTCAGTTTTATGTTTATGTGATTCTTGTGAATCCACGATAAGATTGTCTAACTAATAGGTCGAGATCATGAAATAGAATAGTTTCCATTTTATCCCAATCATGATTTGATTATGTATATTTGTTGCATATACAGGCACAAGAGGAATACTGTGATACTATCTCCAGTCCCCCCAGTGAGGCCATTCAAAACCTCATCACAGAGACAAAAAAACATCCCTGGCAGAAAACAATGGACGAGGGCAAAGTAATGGGTAGAGTCGGACCAGGAATGATGTCTGGTGCTCTGGAAGGTATATGAAACATTTAAATGTATATTTTGACTATTGAAAAATATTGACACAGTTCAAATCACTCATATATACTTGACATTCTTAAAAATTGCAAATTAATGAATATTTAAGAAATTTACAAAATTATGGAATTAGGGCCTTAACTTGACTTCTTTGTCTCCACATTATGACACCTAGCATCAATATTCCTAGACGGAAGAAATAAACTGCTGTGTTGAATGATTTCCTAAATTTAACCAGTTGTTTTTCTTAAAAGTATCAAATGAATCTATCAGTGAGTGTAAGAACATCAATGTGTAATTACTGTTGTCTGAAAATCATTGAAGGTACATTCTTAAAGACACTCGTTGGCATGTCAAACGCCAAACGAATTCTCGAAGTCGGTCTCTTTACCGGATGTGGCGCGCTTGCCATGGCTGAGGCACTTCCGGCTGATGCTAAAGTTATCACGTGTGAGTTAGAGGAGTATGTTGCAGACGTTGCCAGGAAACTGGTTGACCAATCACCACACGGAAGGAAGATCGATATTATGATAGGTGAGTGGTCGTCTGCTGATGATGAATGAAATATCACTGATGTTCATTTCTTGTCGTTTTGGATCGTGAAAAGGATGTTAAAACATGTGAACGGCATGTTATCACAAAGTCAGTGGCGCTGTTGAAAGGGGCGAATCTATCTTCGAAATGGAGATATCTGGGATTTATTTTTGTACGAATTTGGAATACATATTTTCACTTTTCGTCTTTCTCATTCACATAGTGGTGGTTTAAGTGTTGACTTTCCGCCAAAAAGAATGCTTTCTCATTGTCCAAAAACACATAGATATGTTTCTGATGCTCTCTGCCCTGTATGTTCAGCTTTAAGTTCAGTTTAAATGAGTAGTAATGCCTAGTGACCATGTTACCGTGCCCAGGTTATGGCTGTCAAGTGTGATGATACTATTGAAGTACCCATAAATGTGCTATAACTGTTATCAAAACGCAACATAACATCATGTCATTAATAAACAGAAACAAACTACAAACTGATATACTGATTAATCCGGACAAGTGTTTCCCTCACTTACACAGGCCCAGCAGCAGAAAGTCTACAAAAACTTGCTGAAGAAGGACAGAAGTTCGACATGGTTTTTGTTGACGCCAACAAGGACGGTTATATCGACTATTATAAGGTATTGTAATTAGAAATGGTCTTCGTTGACATGACAGCTGGATGTCACCCTCTAAAGACGGCTGGTTGTTCGTTCTTCTGATTAACATCATTCACAGGAAATCTGGCTTCTTATAAGCCTGATGTCGTTAATTGTCATGGCTATTGGCTGGATGACTGCTTGCTTATTTTCTAACAAATTACGTTTATTTGCAATGTACATGAAGACATGTTCTAAAATGAGTACAAGACAACAAGCTGCAAATTCCACTATTATCAACATGTTCAGTTAAACATGATCTGTATGGACGCTTAAAAATAATTACTTATAAATATACGTTCGTAATATTGGTAAGCATAACGTGAAATTTACTGTCGTCAGGGTGTACAGCAACATATGTCGTACCTTCCATACATAATGTAAACAACCGATTTCGTTACTGATTGTGGTGTCTACAAGATTTGTTGATAGTCTCAGGATAATCTACTGAACGTTTACCATAGGATTCATGTCAGCACACAAATTTCGAAAGACAAAGTGATTATCTGATCTGTCTTATTCTTTTTATTTGTTGAATTTATTTTGATAAATGTGTATTTTAAAAAAAATCTTTCTTTGAAAATCTACACAAATCACGACTTGTTTATAGATCATAATGGACAATGACATGCTGACCGCCCGAGGCACAATACTGATTGATAATGCTCTGAACAGAGGTCAGGCCTATTTACCAAAGGAAAAGTTGGTGATTTCTGAGACTTGGGGAAAATACAGTCACGCAATACGAGATTTCAACGACTATGTCTACAACGATAACAGAGTGTCACAGGTAAAACTTTATCAACGTAACTGCTTTCATGTATGTCTCAGAAAATCGAAGCCTCTGTAACGCAATCTTGCACCAGTCGTGTCACATTATATGATTGTAATAAAACTAGGATGGATCTGTTTAAACTCATGCTACAATTGATTTCAAAGAGTGACTGACGATAAAATAGAAACTTTAAAAAGTAATAAAAAATGCGAAATTAGTTCATCGTTTTCCTGTTAGAAAAAATGTTCATGTAAATATTACAGTGATGTTTTTTCTTAGTTTTTGTTGTCCGCTTCACGCTACTCTCCATTTTGAATCTGAAAGTAAACCCAGGTTTATGAATGGCTGATGGAATTCTTAGTTCATGCTCTGTGTGTTCATTCATTATATGATTTGATGTTATTTAAGAATGGAATGCAGTACGACCGCAGCCTATCTAGAGTGTTGGAATTTCATTATTAATTCATTTAAGAATGTAGGTTTCGAATCTAGGAATGTTTTGAATTTCGATAAAAACAGCCACTTGATTAACAATGATTATCGATATATCACCAGAGGAGATCAATGAACTAAAATTAGTATATCATGATCTAACTGAGTGATCGATTGATTGACCTCTTCCTCTGATCGATTAGGTGATGGTGCCTATCCGTGACGGTGTGATGATGATCAGAAGAAAGGAGGCGTTCGAAGGAGAAGCATAGATTTGGTAGGATTACAAGCGCGTGGTTGTGTAGTTTATGTATACAAAGGGAAGTAACTCTGAGCTAAGAAAACCACGACATGCCACTTGAAAATGAAGCTATTTGAAGACTGTAAACAACACAGAACTCTTCAATGTCATGTACGGGGTTTCACACGAATGACATTGCACAATACCATTAGCTTATCATTATTACGTTAGTGAACTTTCAATTTAATACGGTTACCATGGCAACATATTCCGAGCAAGACGTCATCAATTTGGTCTAAAGATCGGAAGTTGGATACAAAGATCAGTTTAATAGAAGTTGTAAAGATGAAAGTCATTTCCACAATGATATGTAGTGTCTTCCTCAAGAGTTTGTTCCGTAGCGATGGGCGCGTGAAACTGTCTAATCGAACAATACTCGAACGCTCCAATATATAGATTTTGTTGTAAGGAAGAATTGTATTGAAGAAGATAATAAACGATATGATGAAGGAATATAAAAAGGTTTTTGTAAGCGTCTTTTCTTTTTATATGACTTCCACTTTAACTCTGGATGCTTCAAACTTTTAAAAAATTATTTCTAACAAATCGTAGCAGTCAAAATTCAGGAATTCTTCCATGACTCGGAGTCACAATTTATTGGCTACATAGGGGAACGCATCTTCGCTAGCCAAGGGCACTTAGTTTCACGGCATTAAGTGGCCTTGGCTAGCGAAGATGACGGGAACGGTTCTATGAATTATATTCAAGAACACATTCTTAAAATTCAATTAAAAAGGGAAGCAACGTTTGTATACAGGTGAAAAATCTGTAGTTAATGGTTTGAAGCCACGTAGTCAAAGTCCAGTGTAGTCAGTGAAATATTTCGGAAAATCCACGTCCTGTATAAAAAATCAAAATTTAGCGCGAAATTCTGCGACCTCTGGTGGCAACAAAATTTCTTAAAAAGGAAATCTAAACGACTGCTAAAAAAACAATGACACACTTATTTTATCTTATATATTTTTTCTCTGGATTTTGAAATAAGGAAATATAAGACAATTTGATTGGTTAAAATCCAACATTGGCGCTAGTTATTTCATCGGCATTTGTGGCCCGTCTCTTTGAAAGTGTCTTGGTGAAGGTCATTTATTTGAAAAAGCTTGGTAGCCCTTCTCCCGGAATGCTGTAGGCCCAATATCAAGAAACTGATTCTCTGTTTTATTGGGAAATCGTTTGAATGACAGTGTTAATGGGTCATAGACAATCTTTAGTAAATTCTGAGAGTACGTGATAAAAAATTGAATTGCCAAATACAAGATGGCTGTCCGTAATTTTTTTTTTTTTAATTTTTTTTTATTTACGATCAAAATAAGACTTGTATCTCAGGAACGGTGGAAATCTACACACATACAATTTGAGAAAGATGCTTAGCAGAATAATTAAGAAACATAATGATAGATGGAAATAAACCACCTACTTTAGTTTGCTGATCAGAACAAATTTATAAGTAAGTGTCCTCTAGTAATGTTTTGGAGAACACGGAGATCACAATGATTAACGTTTGCTATTTTTGGCGTTGTTAGTAAGTCCGCCAGAAGTAAGACTTACTTTTATATTTTCGCTATTTCCACTTTCCCATTATAACTAGAAGTCATTCAAATTCCGGGAACATTAAATTGCATTAATAGGGTGTCTCTACCCCATTATCGTTTTTTTATACATAAATAGCTTCCGTATACAATACAATATGAAAGGATATAGCAGTCCATCTTTAAATGTTTGTATGATTTAGTACCTAACATCCACGGAGACCAGATGTTACTGGCATGTCACCGTAGTTGGTTAACTAGGTGAGTGGAGCTACAGCACAAATACCTGTTCTGTGTCCTACTATATCCGAGTAATACAGGTACCACCAGCTGTTTACGCTACAATAGTCAGACCTCGTGTACATGTACATGTCTATTTCGTGTTGTTCAGCATAGATAACCGGGACACAAAGAAGGTAAGTAGCGTGTACCACTAACATATTATCCTGTGTAGTACATATGTGTGCGCATAGCATGTTCAAGTTTTAAGCTCTTGCCTCTTTTGGCGTTCAGTGAATACGATACAAAACAATGAAGGAGATGAGATCATCTCTCACTCAACAGAAAACTCTCTGTCATCTTTGCACACACATGTGTGTTACAAAGGATCGATTTTACGCAACATATGTATGTCGCATTGAACAAAGATATGATTTAAAGATGGCTGGAGAATAAGTTGATAAATGATAGCTCTGACATTGCAAGTACTCAATGATTAGCTCATTCGACCCGAAGTGAGCTTTAGAACTACCACGTCGTCCGGCGTCTGTCTATATTTATTTTATATTAGTCCTGAACAACTAAGCGGATTTTAACCAAATTTGGTCTGACGAATCCTTTAGGTAAGCGAAACAAATTTTACAGAAACGGTGGGTCTGGGTCCAGCGGGCCTGAGAGGCGGAACCCAATAGTGAAAATCTATAAAATTCTTCTTATCCTGTAGAAATTACTGTGATTTGCCAAAATTTGGTCTGATGCATGCCTTGGTGAAGGGAAGTCACTTTTGTATAAACGATGGGACGGGCGATCATTATGCAGGACTGAATTACTGGTATTTGTCGAAATGTGGTTAGAAGCATCGTTGGGTAAAGGAACTCAGTTTTGTATAAACAGTAGTTCTTTGCAGAGATCTGATGCAGAAAACTTCGTTAAATCTAAACTTAATCTGAGATAGTACTGCTAGCACCTTGCCAACTTCTGTCATTCAGGAATGAAAATACCGTTCTAAGTGTGCGTATTTCAAGTTGGGAATTATTAATAATTTTTCAGTAGTATTAATGAACAAAAGCAAGTGTTCAAATTTGTCTAAAATTGGTACTTCGGAGTTATGGAACATGACATGATTAAAGCTAAATATCTAAAGAGGTTTGCAATAGATATGCATGCTACATTTATACATAAGAGATAGGTAGCTCTGATTTTACAAGTAAATACAATCCTTAAAATTACCGTACCAATATTATAATGCATTGACATGCACCGTATGGAAAATGTCAATATTCTTGTCTCTTGTCATTATATTACCAATGCTGACTCTCACATTTTTCTGCTTTCTTATACGAATCGAAATAAAATTCTGGGAATCCCATCCGTTTAAAATGTTTAATGGCGAAACAAAACTTTTTCTTCTGTATAGTAGTTTAATTTCGCGGTCGTTCCAGTTTAAGCCTGTTCACAGAGATTAGATTCCGGAGATGTCTTTACATTGGTGTACATGTATAAAGGCTTATGTCACAGTCACAACCGTTTATATATAAACAAATATCCAGTAGATTATGCCATGGTGACTTTGTGCATCCATTTTATTATATAATTCCGGTGTTTTCCCCTTTGTTTTGCATTGTTATTCCTGTGATAATTTATTGTAAATAGTATAAATACGGATACACCGGATCCGGGTTCATAAAACAAACATTAGTAGGGCACAAGCACGTCAGCAAAAGGGGCGGTAGAGTTATCGTTTGAGCTTGTTGATGTTGAAAGGTACACCAGCGCCAAATACAGTTTGCGGTAAGTTTTATAACAACCCAGATGTGGGCGAGATAGTTATTGAACGCAGTCCTGTGTGGGCAGTTCTACTGCTGTATGCGGTCCTGTGTGGTCTGTGTTTTTCATAATTAGACGAGGACACCCATGAAACTCCAGTAATAATTGATGTGATGGATTCCTCTGTGGGCGAGCAGTTACATAGACAACCCTATTTGGGCAACTGTATGTTGTCTGTATGTGAGCAGATCACTTCATATCTTTCTGATGGTGTATTGTGACTGAGCTGTCGTCGTCAACGAGAAGCCTTTGAAACATGCGAAGACATTTCTGTCGTTGTTTAAAAGACTTCTGAGAGACTTTGTAGAGATCACTCTGCTATTTGGAGTGATCATGCAATTTACATCGGTGAATGTAAATAAAAATATATATACTGGTATACATAGTGTAAATAAGTCTTGTAGATATTGTATATTTGGTGTTTGTGCCTTTCTGATATCAGCGATGCTAGTCGTACTCGTCCATGTTACAGCTTATAACGCTGATTTCTTTAAATTTATATATTAAATGTTTTCTGTATATTTATATTCGGACGGTCTTCAATGACCGCGGATATCGCGACATGAAATCCTTTGCAACTATTACCAACTACACAGTAATTTTACCAAAGTACGTTTGTATCTTAAATAGTCTTCCTCTTCATGTCCACAAGTAAATCCAATATGTTGCGAGAGATACAATTAACATGGAATAAACATAGGATACTAGCTGTTTTACCTGTTGGTGTACCTTTTTAATAAATCTCCTGTTCAATCTTGTAAACCCCAGGGTGCTGTCCTGGGACCACACCTTTCTTTGCTTTGTATTACCTGTTATATGTATACATGTATACCGTAAAGGATTTTCCAACAATACAGTTCAACACCGGAAAATACTGAATTATTCACTAATCGTGCCAGTTTCACTCTAGGTGTTTGAGACGGAACTGTTAAAACCATTCCCCATGGAATGTCCGTGGTCTTTATTTGGCCATTGCTATTGTTTTTTGTTTTTGTTTGTTAGGCTTTTTTTCTTTTAAAATAATATCTGCAGTTAGCCCCGCCTCCCCATTTAAGTATTTACCTTACCCCACATACGTGACTAGCTCCAAACCTTTCGTTATCTTGATACTGTTGACTTAGCCAAGAACTGTGATTTGAATTCGTTACAGCCATCACACGTATAATACACGGCTAATAGAGTGGAAAAAATAACAGTCATGTTTATAAACAATGGACAGAATATTAACGACGGTTAATTTCCATTCTCATCCTTCTAAAAGGAGAAAAGATATGACTGCTATGTAGTGATGTGGTTATAAGTATCTGACTATCCGTCTAGAAACTTAGATGGTAACCTATGGGCTCATTGTGTAAGCTCATTATCAGATATGCTATGCTTTTTAAGCAAGGGAACGGAACAATACGTCGAATCCCTGAACTACTTCACCAACTCTGCCATTTTGATTGAACGATTTAACGTTACAAATGATATATTCATTTAGTTCAGTAAAATTTCACATTATAAGTATCCATATGTTGGATTGTTTCCATTGGATGTTAAACCTACTCCGCTTTGGACTCAATTTGTTTTTTCGTTTTTTTGTTTTTTTTATTAGCAGGGCTTTAATCTGAATTGAGATTCAATTAACAGTGGCATATATTTCAGTTCAGTATGCATAGTTCACGCACGAAACTTGGTGTTTCCTGATCAGAATACTAAGTATTTACTTATGTAATTAGGTCAGACATGTTTAGGACTTCAGTTGCACAGTTTATTACTAGAATCGCTATGAATTTAACGATAGCGCCACTCCTTTATAAAAAAAAACCGTCTGAGCCCGAATTCTGTTAATCTTGAAGGGACTAAATGATGTTCACTCAAAGATATTTCATTTGATATAATACATATATAAGACAAAATTAAAACATTCACACCATTAAACTTCCCCGCTTGTATCATCAACATCATCATCATCATCACCATCATTATCATTATCATCATCATCAACATCATCATCATCATCATCATCATTATCATCATCATCATCATCATTATCGTCGTCGTCGTCATCATCATCATCATCATCATCATCATCATTATCATCATCATCATCATCATCGTCGTCGTCGTCATCATCATCATCATCATCATCATCATCATCATCATCATCATCATCATCATCATCATCATCAGCAGCAGCAGCAGCAGCAGCAGCAGCAGCAGCATCATCATCATCATCATCATCATCATCATCATCATCATCATCATCACCATCATCATCATCATCACCATCATTATCATCATCAGCAGCAGCAGCAGCACCAACATCATCATCATCATCATCATCATCATCATCATCATCATCATCATCATCATCATCATCAATTGATAATACAGATAAAATAAAAATGATAGCAAATAATATTTATATAATTCTGCATAAACTCATGCCCCCCACACGTCCGCACACACTCGCCTCTACATAACCACAAAACCATACATACACCACATTATACTAACCAAACAAAGACATACAAACAAAAGAAGAAACACAACACTGACATATTATCTACAAACATGTAGTAAGGGAAATGATTAGCTGGTAACTGAAAATAAATGTTTGAAAAAGAAGTATGGATAAAATATTTGAACATGGTAACACAAGTGATGAAGGAAGACAATTTTGACTCGTTCCCAGTCGGCCTTGAACTGACGACACGAACGGCACGAAATTACTAAACCAAGAAATAGGGATAGGGAACGAGTCAAATATGATCAATGGATTTCATTATGGAAGGCAGGATCTTTGTGTGATGGACTTGAACTCATTTGTTATAGATTTTTTAAGGACATATATCTTCTGAATTGATAATATTGATATCATTTTAGCATAATTTATTTGATTTTACTGGGTCAGAATCAACTAGTTAATCTGTTATTAATTAGTCTCTATCAAAACAACTGGAGCAACATCTAACTTTCATTATCATCGGCATGTGACCGTGACATGGATGGCGAACGTAGCACATTATAAATACCCCGTGACCTAAGGAAAACCGACATATTTAACTTTTAGATCGCCATTGTTTCGGCTTTATAAAATTATATCATAGTGTGGCTAGGAAAAACACCTCTCCTATTATAAAAGTCATATCGCCGTCTTCTTTTCAGTTCTTAAATTATTTATTTTCCTTTTTAGGTGACCTAATCAAATCTCAAAGATGGACTTTACTTTTCAAAACTACAGTTGGGGCCATCCAGTTCTACGTCATCTTGTAAAGTTACAAGAGTCGGCAAAGAACCGAGGAGTTCCGGAGGACATCCAGTCACAGATCCAGAACTGTATTGATTGTGTCATTGTAAGTTTTAACACAACATTAGAACGCGTGTTTTCCCGCTGTTTACATTACACGGCTTTTAAATATAATAGATCTAAGCTATCATACAGAGACGTACGACTTAAACATCCTTTTGTATGGATGGACAACACATGTATATATAGTATGTAGATAGGATGGGTAAGCAGACTGTTACTTTGAATAAAGCCCGAGATTTTTTTTGATAAGTGTAGAGATTATGGACATGATGAACAACTGCTTGTGAGGATGTGTTATCAACTGAGTAACGATTACGTTTTGAGTTCGAACCCCGCGTTTTATGGTATAATTTCTACATATACCGTTATACTTTAAGAAAAAGATAACATAATTCATTTCAAGTACCTAACGTACCAAAGCGAACTTTTATTTTTGAAAGAAAAAAAGTCCCCGATTACGTTATGCCTGGAAGAAAATCCCACTCATCTACTTTCCACACGAACAATTCAGTTGACTTGTTAGCGTTTGAGAAAAGTTATGTAGAAGTTGAGAGTACGTGTCGCCTTACTAGCCTTGACTTACGTAAATTTCCCTTTAGTCGAGCGGTAGAGGATCCGGCTAGACACCGAGGGTTCGCTGGTTTGAACCCCGCCTGGGGGTTAATCCTTCCTATTACAGTTAAATTCCGAATAAAAAAAATCCAAATATCATTCATTTGTAATTCTGGTTTATGTTACTTACACAGGCAGGTGAGGACTACTGTAACTCCGTATCCAGTCCCCCAAGTGCAGCCATTGACAACCTCATCAAGGAAACAGAGAACCATCCCTGGAAACAGGCGTATGAAGGGGGAGAGCTCGATTGGGAGGTGTCACCCGTAATGCTGTCTGGTGCTTTGGAGGGTAACAAAAATCTTTCCAATTTTGGTTTCAATGAAACTTAGATATTAATGAATGGTTACTATGCCAACGCGAACTTACGTTTGGTTTAATATCAGGAAAGCGATAAAACATTTCCCACATGAAATGAATTTCAGGATCATTCTTGAAAACTCTCACGAGTATAGCCAATGCCAAACGAGTCCTGGAGGTTGGTCTATTTACTGGATGTGCCGCACTCGCCATAGCTGAGGCGCTTCCAGCTGATGGGAAAGTGATCTCGTGTGAGATAGGGAAGTATGTTGGAGACGTTGCTAGGAAATTGGTTGACCAATCACCGCACGGAAAGAAAATCGACATCATGATAGGTAAGAAACTCTCAACGTTGTTGTTTTGGTGACATAAAATTATTAAGAAGTCATAACATGGATACCATCGCCTAGAATTTGCCAAGTGACCATTATTTGTAAGAATAATAGACTGGAATTCCGTCATCTTAATTCAGTGTAGATAAAATTGAAGACACTATTTATTTATGTTCGCCGAAAATGTTGGGGTATAACCCCGAATCAGACCTTGAAAAGTTGTCTTGTATAATTGCCATCATGTACGCGTGGCTTTTATTTGTATATTTACTATAACATCACTGTGCTTTACATTTTTGTTTTATTTTTCAAGATTGGTCTGCCGTCCTGTTTGTAATGAGTTTGATGATTATTTGTCGAACCGGAAGTAACAATGATTAGAAAATGTTTAAAAGAAAATGTAAATATTGCAAAGAAATCGGGAAAATAAAAGGAGGTGCTCGACACATTACCAAAAAAGGAGTTTTTTTCAGTTACCAAAACTACGGCTAATCACAGTGCTTGGGAGGATATTGTTAGGGAGAAAACTGAATCAAACGACGAACATGTTCTTTTTATTATCAACAGGTCCAGCGTCAGAAAGTCTACAACAACTGGCGACAGAAGGACAGAAATTCGACATGGTTTTTATTGACGCCAACAAGGAAGGATATATCGAGTACTATAATGTAAGTTTAGGTGTGAAAACCTTTCTTTTCTGAATGTTTCAGGGAAGAGTGTATCAATGTATAGCTAAACATTGTCTATTTTGGTGAAATGCTACCCGCTACAAGGTAGAGTAGATTTATACCTCCACCTTGGGTTTCTGGTATCTACTTTTAAGGCCTTTCCTTAGTTATCTACTGGGTTTCAACAATTTAGGCCCGTGACACCTCTAGAAGGTTGAAACAGCTGTATGATACAGTTTGATTTATTTCTTGCACTGCTGTTTTATAAACCTAACTTTGTATTGAAAGATGTCCTTCATTTGTGTGTTTTTGTACAATTCCCACTGTCTTGATAAGTAAGAGAATATGAGTACACACGTGTACCATAATCTTACTCACATTGATAGGGGTAGACCTGCTTTTATTCTGATAAAAAACTTACCTCCTCGCTAAAAATAGGGATAACATTAGTAATTTTGACGTTTATTTCATGGAATATTCATGATGGTCTAATCACAACAATTTACTTCAACGAATGGGAAATGTAGGCGAAGAGTAATAACCAATCACATGTGTGCGATGTAGACAGAGATATGTCACATACCCAGAAAAGATTAATTTTTAGCACTTGTGTATACAGCACCTACATCACAGAGGTGTCAAAACAATTAATTATCAGTAAAATAGAAGTTCTTATAACACAGCCAGTAAAAGATTAGAGTGTGACTTTTCGATGACTGCACGTCACCTTCACCAGACAAATGACCATTCTGGAGCGGAATGGTACTGACGTATGTAGTGTACGAGAATGTAAGGAATCGACCAACTTTTTTTCGACTCTACTATAATCCTATGTACACTAAGGTCGAAAAAAGTGTGACGAGATGGTTAAAGATCATAAACCAAAAAAATTCACAAGATGGTTACAAAGTACAGTAGTCAATTTGGTTTATATATATATCATTTACATGTATCACACTTCCATGGAAACAAAACAACTGTCAAGAAGGAAAAAATACGTTTATCACAGATCTAAAAAGTAATTTTTTGTCGTTTTGTTTATTTGTTTTCTTATATTTATACCACAGACGTGAGCACTTCAAACTTTTAATTCATCATGAGACTTTGATATGTAATCTCTCTACAGATAATCATGGACAATGACTTGTTGGACTTCCGAGGTACAATCCTGATAGACAACACCTTCCACGGGGGGCAGTCCTATCTATCACAGGACAAACTTGAACTTGAAGAAGATCGGATTGAAATTAACGTAATGCGAGGTTTCAACGACCATGTTTATAATGATGACAGAGTTTCCCAGGTATAACCATTTCACGTGTCTCTATATAGATAACAGGGTTCCCAAGGTAAAAACTGTGCCTATATAACGATAACAGGGTTTCCAATGTAAAAACTGTGTCTATATAACGATAACAGGGTTTCCAATGTAAAACTGTGCCTATATAACGATAACAGGGTTTCCAAGGTAAAACTGTGCCTTTATAACGATAACAGAGTTTCCAAGGTAAAACTGTGTCTCTATAACGATAACAGGGTTTCCAAGATAAAAATGTGCCTATGTAAAGATAACAGAGTTTCCAAGTTAAAACTGTGCCTATATAACGATAACAGGGTTCCCAAGTTAAAACTGTGTCTATATAACGATAACAGGGTTTCCAAGATAAAAATGTGCCTATGTAAAGATAACAGAGTTTCCAAGGTAAAACTGTACCTTTATAACGATAACAGGGTTTCCAATGTAAAAACTGTGCCTTTATAAAGATAACAGAGTCTCCTATGTAAAAATGTATCACTGTATCAAATCAAAATTCTTATGATTGTTTATACGATGAAAAAGGAGCTATCGTAAAAATTAATATTAGATGACAAAATATTGTTGAAGTTGGTATAATCTAAATAAGAAAATTCTGATTTACCACAGTTAAAGCATATAGTCTGTGACCTGGCACTTTATACTGCTTTCTGTATAATGTCCTAAAAAGAATATAATTTTCGAAGTTTGATGTGATAAAGAAATGTTTTTTGAAACATTTGAAAAATCTTTCTCCATGTTTATTTTGTGTGTATTTGATCGGCTACTGTACCGGTGTTGTATTTGATTCTTACTGTAGCATACGGAACCAAAATTTAGATTTATTTAAAAATCTTTGATTATTATGAAAATTCTTTTATTTGCTGTCTAATACCCCAAAAACACAGCCTAGAATGGACATTCTTGTGTAGTCATTAAATACTGAAGACCTACATACATGAATTTACTGAATAATGTGATTAGTGTGCGTCTCCGTCTAAATTAAAGCAGCATTGCTTCGGCCGGTTTCCACTGTACACAACTTGTCGTCTAGATTTTCGCTTTTGAGATCCCAAGTGTTATTGACGAAACAGCTACATGACGCAATTAAGTATATCGTCAGGCATATAAATTTATCCAATATCATATTGGATACGAGAAAAACATATATTCTATACTGTACTGAAAGTGATATCCACTGAAGTGTCAGCTGTTCAACTCTCTAGTAGCTTGCAAGTCCGGAGTCTATATGTGGTTTGTATACCATAAAAAAACCACTAGTATATTTTGGTATGCTACAGTAAAGACTCGTGCGTTGATGAAATAAATATATAATTAATTAACTGATTGGTCTCTCTTTGTATTCGAGCAGGTTTTGGTGCCAATCCGTGACGGTGTGACGATCATAAGAAGGAAAGCAGAGTTTGAGGGAGAGGTCTGAACATGTCTTCAAACGGATGCAGATATAAACTATTGAATGCAGTTTTGACATACATTATATAGATATTACGCAGATAGATATCAAAGCAGAACGCTCTATAAACAAATGACATCAGACAGGAAAACATTTGAACTTGTAGACTACTCAGAACTGACGAACTTTCTATCGATATACTGAAAGAATGTGAATGAAAACGACACCGCTTTGACAATGATAAACAATGGTAACAATGTGATGCCACATTGACCCAGAATTAAATAGCTATAAAATATTTTAATAGTTTAGCAAAGATGTTAAATGTACATATTTGTATATCCAGTCTTGGATCAGTCGTCTGATATTTGAAATTCAAATGATTAGTGCTAGTGATAATGGACAAAGGGTGTTGTGGTCAGGTCGCTGGGACTGGTGAAAAATTACTTCTAATATTGAATACTTACTAATACTCAGGACAACCGCGCCAGTTCAAATGGACTGGCGATTATGTATGTGTTTTGCTCAGTGTAAGTGTAAATGGAGAGAAATGGACACAGTTTGTGTCTTATAAACAGAAAATAAACCAATATGAAACTTCGTGTTTTTCTCTTATCGTTATTAAGTTTTCTCCCTCCGAAATTTAATCTGTTGAAATTTAGTTCCACGCTGATTTTGTGTTCTGGTTGACACGACTCGTGTTCCAGAATGAAAATGTCTAATTTCTGTCACTTCCGATTCCCAATTGTTAGTCTGAGACTAACTTTCTTTATTTTATCCTTTAAAAAATGTAGAAAAAAAACTAAAATAAAGAAAAACTGGCTTACAACAATTCTTAATATAAATTGAAATTCGATGAAAGAGGTCAAAATATGAAGGAAAATCATACAAGTAAATGACTACTTCCCAGAATGGATCAATGATGGCGGTAAAGAAAACTTCACTTTCGTTAACTTCTCTCGAAACCTTATTCTGTTAGTTCACACTTATACATATTGTAGACACCTGTCACGACAATAGAGATACTGAAAACAAGCCCTTGATTATCGAATCATCTGTGACAATATGAGAAAATAGAAGGCAGTCACAACACTTGTGACTTTGTATTGAAGGGTGTTATTCACTCGTCTTTTGTAGTTTTCACTGTCTTAATAACAGAGAGAATATGAGCAACCTGGGCCTTGATCTTACTCAATCATCATCATTATCATTGACTTCCTCCTTCTCCTCCTCATCATCATCATCACAATGAAGAGTCATCACCATCACAATGAAGAATCATCACCATCATCATAGCTACAAAACTCCACCAAACACAGTAAGGTACGTTATGTTATGCTTGTATAAACATCAGATTCATCCTTCACTACATGTCTTATGAAGCATGTCAACCAACTTTCAATAAAAATGTATACCAATCACTTCTGTCTCAACCAACAAGTCATGGCTACAATAATTGAACGTTATTTAATGCTATATTATATAGCGATGTTGAATCCAGTCTTACACAAAGTACCTTGCAATCTAAACATTCTTCAAAAGGCAAAGCTATTAAACTTTTGTTTTCCATGCTTGAGAAGTAAAGCAGAGTTTAATGGGGGGCTAGACTTGTGTACAAAAGGATGCATATATAAACTGATGAATGTAATTTTGATATACATTATGGATGTATTATGCAGATAGATATTAGATCAATACACAACCTACACGATTTGATATTGCAATATATTTACAGTTACCGTTGATAATGATCTGTCTTGCGCACGTGCGCGATATTGATATGGCTATAAAGCACTCCCGCGTATCATCGTCGTATCACACGAAAAATTACCGAAATTCTAACCTCGAATATATAAACAAAATATACAGTTAATCCATAAATAGGAAGAAGACTATAGAATGTTAAGACTGCACAGAACTGACTACCATTCTAGATAGCATTGCACTGCTGTGATATCGTGGATTTGTGACAAAACAGCCTCAGGATTCACAAAATGTCAATCTAGATTCCTTTCCGAAGATATTTTAGCAATAGTGTTATTTATACATTTAAGGAATAAATTGTTACCAGATGGTAAAATACCGTCAATATGAATAACTCTCATCATCTGAAACAACAAATGCGCTTGAAATTCCCGTTTAAGCAAATTCATCAACAGCCAAAATGAGACGACATGATGCCAAACATACATAGTATCCAACATGGCCAATATATGAAAATAAAAAGTAATTTCTAAAGAATTGGTTTAACCTATCTTTGAGTTGTTTATTATTATCATTTTTTGATACCTATCTGTGAGTGTTTGTTTCCTTTCCAGATTAAAATTGCCTTCCATCGTCCCGTGTTTTAATCGGAAGCAGGCGACTACTTATTTCCCGCCTGTTAATGACGTCACGGCACGAGCCAGACGACCGTTTTGCCGAAATGACTTGACAAGGCTTACACGCAGAGCGAAAATATTTTCAAGTGTTGAAACTTTCCGACGCCATTTAATTTTGGGACATATTTTAGTTTTTAAAATCAAAATGAAAACTATCGCAAATAACAGTATTTTGAGTTTGTTTGTTTGCTTGGAATAAAAGCAGTTTAATGCACATTGGCATTTCTCATTCAAGAAGTGATGCGGCTTTCAATCAGCTGAATTTCACGAAGCGGCGTATCTGATGTTTTTTTTTTTTTTTTTGTTTTTTTTTAAAGAATAATGACTTTGTCGTGTTATGAAACAGGTTGGTGTTATTTGTATCGCGGAAGGCGCTGGCGCAAGAAAATGATGGTCCGAAAACCGGAAGCAGTGTTATTTGGAGAATCTCGGATTAAATGGAGAAACCAAGGCAAACCGGTCTTGGTATCTACCAATGTAACTCGATTATCTGAAATTAAATCTTATTTTTCAATAACATTTTGTCAAACAGAAAGGTAGTAAGGACCTTGTACTTTCGAGTGTGTATAAAATATATTTTAAATTGTTTAGTTTAAACATATTTTATTGACAAAGAAAAGTCAAAGGGATTGGTCAGTAAGTTTTGCCAACTTATAGACGACTTCTCCCAAAAATGTATTCCCAATTTTAAATTGTTCCTCCGGTACCCAGACATACTAGCCAAAGTATGTATTTCCATATTAGCATGAACCTAGCAAAGTGTACCCTTTTCAATTTTAACATATTTTCTAAAGTTAATTTGCTAAAAAACTAATGTATCACTGAAGATTATTTCTCTGTGGCCAATTTTGATAATCTCTTCGGTAACTCAACATTGTACGAAAAAAGAATTAAGTCAGCGAAGAGAAGACCACAATTAGTCCCTATGGGTATGTCGATAGCCTACTTAAAGATCTAACCAGTAAAACGATATTTTCAACTACAAACACAATATTTATATTATTGATATCCAACACCAAATAATTTCACTGTTATTCGTTTTTCTTTGAAAAGGAATATCTTGTAACACGAGAAGGAATGTGCGCTTTTTGTTTGGGGTGAGGTAGGGGATTGCATTATTAGGAAAATCAAATTTTCTTGTAGAAGAGTCAACTTTCGGAAGAGGATGTTCCAGATAGGGATTTGAGCCTTCACGATAAGAAGGTTCTTTCTCATATGTTGTAAAATCTACTCTGGCATTCTGTCGAATTATACCTGTCTGTAGTTCATCGACACAAGACTCTACAAAATTACAGCTATGAAATGATAAAGATTGTTACATATTTTGTTTTCTTCGTATTTGTAAATGTTCACTTAGCACTAGTTATCTCTAACCAATCTTTGAACAACTGGGCCTATTAAGAAAGCTGATAAAACGTCAGAAGAATTCGGATTAGGTCAAATAAAGACGGCGCCAACATGGACACGGCAGCATGCATGACATGGCACCTCGCTAAATAACACTGACATCCTTTAAAGAGAATGCATACCTCCTCGGAAATAACTAATGTAGCTCTTCCTTCAAGTCAATCAATTAATATGAACACACACGCAAAACAACGACACATTGGTTGTTTTAAGATCACTTTTCTCTGTCATGCAGCAGCGAATTGTTGAAATACAGAACCTTCCTGAAGCCGTGTTCCAGTACCTTTTTCTATACATTTCTAGGTTAAAACCTGTCCATTCTAAAACGAACTACTACTCGTCTAAAAAGTACAGTGCACTATACTGTGGCTCGAATTAAAAGAGAAAGGACCGCGATTTTTTTCTGTGCTTCTTTAAAAAGTATTTGACAACGTTATATGGAATAATTTAAGAAATAAATTTGTTTTCGGACTCTTTTTTTTTAATAAATAAATTGTTTGTTGAAATCAATATCATCAAAATTTATAATTTTAATATAAAATTTAATGAAATAAAACAAGGGATTTTTAATGACTCGTGACAGTATTGCGATTTTGAATTTCCGTAACATGCAGCAGGTATCGGGTTTTATTTTACGTTAAACCGGAAGTTTACATTACACACATGGCCCTCAGAGAAAGTGGAAATCGAGCCTAAAAGGTGTGGAAATGCACCGTTCAAAGCCATAAAATAGCTGTACTTGTGCTGAAATGACAGACATGCAGATGCGATTCAACACAAAACGCATTGCAGTTGCGCTGTGTATTTGTTCTATAGTTGTCACCATTCTGTTGCTGTACAACTGGAGGCCAAGACACCATCACAAGAATCCTTTCGAAATAGATATCTATGACGACGGCGATTACGATGAAGACGCAAAGGATGCTATTTTAAGACAACATTTGATAGATTACCCCGTCTTCAATGTTAAAGTGCAGGTAAAATGTTCTGTTAGAAATACAGGTTGTGCACGTGCAACTCACCTGCACACATTTATATTTTAAGATTTTAATTATCCAGTTATCAGCCGATGTTTTTTCATATACATAATGTACTAAATATATGTAAAATCAGGGACTAAGAAATATCTAAGTTCATGCTATAATGTTTCAATTAATACATGTTTATATATTGTTAGCAATCAAACACAAACGTATAAAAGTGATAAAATAAAATCTGTAGTCAATACATAGGATTAGTATGATTTTTTTGAAAACAGAACTGTGCAAATGACCAATAAGGTGATGCGATGTTATTTCGATAAATAATATACAGCAGGGCTATGCATGAAAAAACCACGCCTATCATAGATCAACGATAATAGAAATGTATGGAGTACAATTTGAGGAAGTCTCTGTAACTGATACTGTTTGTATCCCCATCCCAGATGAGGCAGATTATCCGTTTGTAAACTGTAATGTGTCTGACAGGTAATTATTACCACAGTTCAAATATTTTTTAGGAAAACAGCAGAATATATTTGGTTGAAATTGGTAATTAACTTTCTCCACCAAAATAGTGCTTTCTGTATATGCTGTCATTTAATTTCAGATTGATTATCTCCCCTTGGTTATATACTCCACTGCACGCAAATGATATATATGTGTGTGTCTTTAATGGACCTTTTGATTAGATATATAGTGGATAATTTTCAGAAGCAAAATGTTTGGAGCTGCATGGCTTTATGGTTTCCAAGGATTATTCACCATAATGCACTGAAATGATTGTCCAAATTATTCTGACATTTTATCAACTTTTATTATAGCCCCAGCCCCTAGGCTGTTAATCATTAGAGAATGTATACATGTGCTAAATTTGTGTATCTTTTATATCCATGTATTTTACTACACATCTGAATAGTCAGAAATGAAGAACAACAGAAGACATGAAAATATTATTTGCGATATTTATTGGTGGATCATAAAATAAATATAGGATGTTAAGATGATACAAGTCCTCTGGTGATCTGCTTTAAGCCCAAGCTGTCACTGTTAGCACTAGTATTGTATTTATGCACACTCCTTTCATGTGCGATCATAATCAAACTTAATACATCAGAGCACTATTCACAGTTTTAACTTTTCCAATTTTCCTTATGACAGTTAGCAATACATCTATATTTGGTGTCAAAGTTTTGCTCTCTGACAATTGATAATGCTGCTGTCTACTGCTGATGTCTGAGTTTCGATCTCTGACAGTTAATGATGCGGATCAGGTTGTCAACCTGTGGGAGAGCATGAGTGTGTGCTTCATTCTGAAGATGTCTGTCTTTCATCGCTTGGCTCTTTACCTATACAAAATAGAAATTCATTAGCTGAAATATTTATAAAAATGCAAACAAAATTAATTTTTGCTGAACTAAATGCAAAACAGTATCAGGCCTTGGAAACTAACGTTTTAAATATGCTAATGAGACTTTTCTGTTGTACAAATTTAAAGGGCATATGAAGATTGATGAAGATAAATATCAATTTCTCCTAAAATGTAGTTGTTTTCTTGTTTTTTACCAATTTCATGGAAATGCTGTGTGATCGATGTGACCTTTGGTATCTGTCACTTGCCTTGCTTGTGGTCTTTAGTCTCTTGGTTAAGAATCGTTTCCCAATGTGTACATGGTCATTCAGACCTCTGGTAAAGTTCTGGCCACGCTGGATAACATATGCTGGACATTGCACCTTTTGGTTTTGGATACTGCAACTCCAAGTGGTGGTTCTGGCTGAGGATTCCTAAAAATAAATAAATGAAAGTTTAACACGAATAAGCTTATAATTAGTTTTTTGTTAGTTATCTTAGACATCAGCTCATGTCAAATTATTATAATTTATACCAAGTTTGCCAAGACAAATCATGACATTCTATGACTTATATTGTAACCATAATTATTTGACTTCTAAACTTTGTCTCACATTGGAAGTGACCTTTGACCTGGTTGACCTTGACTTTGTATTACTGGTACCTTGATTATCTGATGTTGACCTACCTTGACTGTATAGGAATATCCATCGCTGGATACAAGTTTCTTGCATCCACGTGTAGTGCTGTTCTCTAAGATTTCGTACCGAGTCTCATCCTCCTCATCCAAGAAGAAGTTGGTCCTCATTCCAGGAAACCTTAAAAAAAGAAGGGAATACCATGAGTGATATTGGTGACTAATTTGTAAAAGTCTCTGTGTTTCTCTAAACACTACATTTCTTACGGTCCTTTACACCAAATGTAATCACAAGTGTTCAATATGAGTAATGCTTCATTAAGCATGATAGTGACAATACTCATCAGAGTCCTAATTGTTAAGTGTTTTCTGTCTTTCACATGTTTTCTATATAAGACTTATCTTTCATTAATAAAACAATCTACTTTAACTGATTTATATTAGAAAATGTTTTCATGTCCTGTGAACGAGAATTGATACATATCAAGACATCCTTTCAGATTTTTTGTCAGAAGTTTGAGGTATTAAAGAAATAGAATAATTCATGCTGAGTTCATGATCTGTGAGGTATCATATACTAGGAGCCAAAACAGAAAATTAATTAATATAATGTATATACTACATTACAATTCAGAGGCCATTTTGAAACTGAATGCAAATGAGTATTGCTTCCGAAAAATGATGTCCCCTTGTAAGTTTTTTTGATACTAATATAAAAATTTACACAAAATTGTTCTACAGAGATTTGATTCGAAAACCTAGATAAAGACCTGGGAAGATTGGAACATATTAGTTATATTGCACTTTACTACACAAGTGTATTACCAGGAAATGATAGTATGTGTCTTTTCATTTCTTTAATTGTAAAGAATTGATAAAGCTACAATGCTTTCAATTGTAGCTTAATGATGAATAATTCAATGTAAACTACAATTTTTGAAGATGTAAACCTACCAAAACTTATCGTCGTCTGAATCATCCTCCGAATCATTCGCCAGGAAAGCCTTGTCCATTGGGCACAAGGATCGCTCATAATACCTATACACAAGAAATAACAAAGTTATGATATTCCTAAAAATTAGATTTGTTACGTTTATAGACAGTATAAATGGAAGAGATATGTATGATGATATGATAGCCATCAGTGCAAGGTTGATTATAGGACTTAAAGTGTTGTTACGTTAGCATTCGAAAAGAAAAATTTAAACATTAATGACCATTCTGGTTATCAGAAGCACTGTTTTGATCCAGGTAGATATTAAAAAGACATATCATGTAGAAACATTTATTGCACAAAATAAGAATTTACAAATAAGCATGTCACTTTCCTGTTTTTAATCAAATAGAAAATAAAGAAATCATATTAAAAAGATGTTGTTTTAGATTATAATAATCCTGAAATTTTACCTTATTTCTACATAAGTGATTACATTTAATTTTATTTTAGGGTAAGTTAATTTGTCTTATTACACCGTGGTCAATGTGATCCTTCAATATTTATTTTCTTTTATCTATTTGTCCAAACTGTGGACTAAAACATGTGATTTCACTTACATGTCAGTCTCGTACTCGCGCTCCACAATAAAGGTGGCATCAGAGGCAGGTGTTGGAGAGTGCTGTCGGAATCTGCACGGACAATCTACACATGGTAGCAAATCAAAACGCCTATGTTTTTGTATGTCGGAATCATCAGACTGAAAAACAAATTAAGGTGAAATGTTTTATTATATTTATCAAAGTTTTGCCCACAGGCAGTTAACACTACAACTATATTTGGTGCCAGAATTTTGCTCTCTGACAATTGATAATGCTGCTGTCTACTGCTGATGTCTGAGTTTCGATCTCTGACAGTTAATGATGCGGATCAGGTTGTCAACCTGTGGGAGAGCATGAGTGTGTGCTTCATTCTGAAGATGTCTGTCTTTCATCGCTTGGCTCTTTACCTATACAAAATAGAAATTCATTAGCTGAAATATTTATAAAAATGCGAACAAAATTAATTTTTGCTGAACTAAATGCAAAACAGTATCAGGCCTTGGAAACTAACGTTTAAATATGCTAATGAGACTTTTCTGTTGTACAAATTTAAAGGGCATATGAAGATTGATGAAGATAAATATCAATTTCTCCTAAAATGTAGTTGTTTTCTTGTTTTTTACCAATTTCATGGAAATGCTGTGTGATCGATGTGACCTTTGGTATCTATCACTTGCCTTGCTTGTGGTCTTTAGTCTCTTGGTTAAGAATCGTTTCCCAATGTGTACATGGTCATTCAGACCTCTGGTAAAGTTCTGGCCACGCTGGATAACATATGCTGGACATTGCACTTTTTGGTTTTGGATAGTGCACCTCCAAGTTGTGGTTCTGGCTGAGGAGTCCTAAAAATAAATAAATGAAAGTTTAACGCGAATAAGCTTATAATTAGTTTTTTGTTAGTTATCTTAGACATCAGCTCATGTCAAATTATTATAATTTATCCCAAGTTTGCCAAGACAAATCATGACATTCTATGACTTATATTGTAACCATAATTATTTGACTTCTAAACTTTGTCTCACATTGGAAGTGACCTTTGACCTGGTTGACCTTGACTTTGTATTACTGGTACCTTGATTATCTGATGTTGACCTACCTTGACTGTATAGGAATATCCATCACTGGATACAAGTTTCTTGCGTCCACGTGTAGTGCTGTTCTCTAAGATTTCGTACCGAGTCTCATCCTCCTCATCCAAGAAGAAGTTGGTCCTCATTCCAGGAAACCTTAAAAAAAGAAGGGAATACCATGAGTGATATTGGTGACTAATTTGTAAAAGTCTCTGTGTTTCTCTAAACACTACATTTCCTACGTTCCTATACACCAAATGTAATCACAAGTGTTCAATATGAGTAATGCTTCATTAAGCATGATGGTGACAACACTCATCAGAGTCCTTATTGTTAAAAGTTTTCTGTCTTTCACATGTTTTCTATATAAGACTTATCTTTCATTAAAAAAACAATCTACTTT